CACACCGGCAATGTTGAGGGCCACTGACCACACTTGGAACAGCTTTGCTCCTTGTCTTCTCCCTTCTCCCTTTGCTGCAGAGACTCTGTTCAGAGGATGATTTTTGAGACAAACTATGGGTTTACAAATGTCGGGAATGGCTTCCCAGTCAGCCCCTAGTCCCCTGTTCTGCTGCAGATGCTGTGCTGGAACTCTCTGCTGAGGGCCGTGGAGTGTCTGGGTCTCCACTGTTCCCACAAAGCGAGCATTTCTCTGACTGCTGTCATAAAGGCAGTTCTTTGCAGATTTTAACCCTTCCTGCGTCCTTCCTCCTTTACAGCATGTACATTCATCTCTTTGTAGTACTGCTGAAAGAATGCAAAAGAATGAGCATCGTTCAAAAGCATTCCGCCCATCTGTGAATCATCCCCTGACTCGTTGATCAGAGCAGTGTTACAGGTCCTCTGCCGGCAGGAGGGAGCAGTCCAACAAAATCTGAAGACCCGAGACTTTCAGAAGCTGTGCCAGGCAGACTAGGCAGCCACAGAACATTGCAAGCTGAATGAATGTCTTAATAAGCTTTTAGATCTGACTAGTACTGGCAAACGAAGCTCAAAGGAGAAAGGCAGCAAGCATTGTATTGTAAATCACTGCAGACCCTTGGGCGGGACAGCCCCTGGAAGCTAATGATCGCTCCAGGAAAGAATTGACCGCGGCTATTCAGCAACAGAACATGATGTAGAGGACAGACCCTGGGATGTGAGTACGATCCCTCTTCAACACAGGGTTTGGACCAGAAGGAGCAAAGCGAGTTATTAAAAGTGATGGCATTCCCTAACCACCGGTCCCTGGGCACCTGTGGACCGTCTCTGGGTGGGTTGTGTATAATGCTTGCTGGGACTTCTGTTTGCAGGTTTCTGCTAGGATATTTTGCCTGTCAGGATATTGGTACTGGGGGACTTTATTGTAAATCTTCAAGATAACAGCATAAGCAAACCTCGTAGACCTTTTGCTATAAAGAGAAAAACGGTCACATCACAGAGCAAGCAGCTGTGTGGCCCTCTGGCATTTGTGATGAGAGACAGAAGCACTGGCGAATTGGAGAGCAATGAAAATGGGGCAGTGGGCTGGGAGGAAGGAGGAAACTCTTAGGAAGCTAAATCCCTTTCTGGATTCATGATGTTCATTGCATATTTATGATCATGCGTTTATTTCACTTCCGCTAAGAACTGGCAGCTTGTTTGCATTTAAGGTTTTTCTCCAGAACGCTGTGGAAATGAGCATCATGACAAAGAGGGATATGATTGATAGACCTGGGGCAGAAATTCCTGACTGCCAGCAGTGGGAAGTGTCTTGAATGATAGCTGATCTATTTGGAAGCTGAAGCCCAGATTCAGTGAGGGAATCGGGCTGCTGCAGCCTGGGTACCCAACAGGTTGGCAGTGAAGTTTAGCTCCTTAATTGCGGACTGGTCACTACCCTTCTGTTCCTCTCCCCTTCCCACTCACCATTCAGGGGTCCGCCATCCTCCTTATCTCTCTCCACAAGCCCAGTTCCTTCCACTCGGCCTGATTTGTCAGTTCAGAGGTATTGGATGAGAAGCCAAGTATTCTCTCATTGCAAAAGGATGATGATCGTTGTTCTGGATGGGAAGTAAGAATACCAAGGATTTAGGACAGTGATTGTGAAAGAGGTGGAGAGGAAGATGAGGGGGTCCCCCAACCTTGGGTGGGGGTCAGAAAGGAAGCAGAAAAGAAAACTCAGCCACATTGATTCCTCCCTCTGCCCCCCTCTGCTGTGTGTAAATGAAAGCGCAGGTGAATGTTGGAGGTCCTAGCAGGGAGGTTATTATTGGATTTAAATTAAGAATGAACTTAAGATAAACTTGAGATACCCAAGCTCACAGGGATGGTGCTAGCAAGCAGCAGATTAGGATTCTGTTCCTGGTTTTGCAGGCAGTTTTCTGTGCAACTCTGGTGGGGGGAGTATTGAAAATCCCATAAGGGACCTATCTGTGAGGCTGCCCTCTGCCTCCAGCGGGCTATGCCTTGACATTTCATTCTCAAGTAGCTGTCACTGAAAGGCCAAAGGAAAAAAAACTCTGACATTTGTGCTTGGCCAACATTTTCTCACAAATGTAGTATTTCTCTCTCTTTAAAAAAAAAAAAAGGAATAGTAATGTGTGCTGGGCTGGTAAAGGGCTATTTACCAAAGGTAATTATGGGCAATCTCAGTAGCTTGCAACCATGGCAATCAGTGCACCTCGGCTTTTGTCTCAGTGTCTGCGAGGCTGAATTTATTGCATGGGACAGGAGGGAGGAGGGGGAGCGGCTGTCAGTGTGAGACAGGCCTGTTGACCCGTGCTTCTGTTGCTGGGGAGACCAGACAGCACTGCTGTTCTGGACCTCGTGACCTCGGCTGATGGGCTGCACTGAGGTTGCACCAAGGAGATCTCTATCCCCAGGAGTTTAGTGATGTAGTGAAATAGAGAAATTTTAGCCATGACGATATTTGTCTGAACTGGGCCAATTTACTTGAGACATTCATATGCCTGTTGCAGGAAAGATTTGGGAAGGGGAGGGTGGCATTTTAGGTAGAGTGCCCAGAAATAACAAATGACTAAATGAAGAAAAATGTGATCCTGGGAGGGAGAGCATTTAGGAAGCCAGGGCTAATTTTCTGCATTTTCCTGCCATTTGGACCTGGAGTGCTTTTACGGGATGGGGTCAGTCAAAGCAGAAGCTCAGTGTAATTGGTTTGAAGATACCACAGATTACCTGAATAAAGAAAGACAGTGTAGCCTATGTTTATAAAAACAAACCACTTCCAAATAGTGGAACGTTCTGGGAAACAAAGCTCAAACTACAGTTTTCATGGCGATCCTGGGAGTTTCCAAAGGCTTTTCCAGCTCCATTTCTCTCTGTTTTGAGTCTCAACTGTATTCTTTCATTGGCTCCTTCATCCAACAAGGATTTCTGGTGCATCGCAGAGATCTGACTGTGGCTGAGGGAGGGGTCTTCTGCTCGGAGCACGTACCTTCTCCAGGTTGGTTGCACTTCTCATGAGCCTGGTGATCAGAGCAGCGTGAGTGGATGAGGGTTCCTTCTCTGTCTTTCCTTGCTATTGTTTACCCACATTTTAGGCAACAGATGAAGGACAGGGAGAAAATTTGATCATTCACAAATTGATTAGAGTTAAGAATGACCTTTCTGAAGTTATTCTATTCACATTGGCCAATACTCTCAGGGGTAACATAGCATCTTTAATTCCCACTACAGTTCTGTCGTTCTGTCTGTTTTACACACGCACGTTTTAACCCCAGCCCGCAGAGCACTTGGTGAAACGGCCTACCTGGATGTCACAGTGAAGGAGAGTCCGAGTGGGTTCCGTCCAGCCCTTCCCAGTCACATCACAACCAATTCTTTAATCTTTAGAGATTGAAAGGAGCATGGGGTTTGCCTGGAAGGAACTGTAAAGGATGTGTATCCTCTGGGCCTTCAAAATCAGAATGTGTGGTAGGACTGGAGATTCTCTGCGGTTATAGCCTTTTCTTTCTATTTGCATATATTGGTATTTTTAGTAAGTACATTTTAAAACAAAAAGAGGCTCACACTTTCTTGTTGTCCTAGCAGGAAAGGGTCAGATCTGTAAGCATTTCTTCTTCAGTCCCCCAAACCCTTCACCTTTGACATAATTACTGACGGCATTGTTTCACCCTAATAGTGGTCCAGGGCTAGTAGGAGGAGTCAGTCCTTTTTTTTTTTTTTTTTAATTTTAAATTAAAGTATAGTTCATTTACAATGTTGTGTTAGTTTCAGGTGTACAGCATTGTGATTAAGTTATACATATATGTATTCTTTTTCAGACTCTTTTCCATGATAGGTTATTAAAAGATGTTTGAGATTTGCAAATGTTGGCCACTATATATAAAAATAGGTAAAACCCTCCACATTTCTTCTGTATAGCACAGGGAACTGTATTCAATATCTTGTAGTAACCTTTAATGAAAAAGAATATGAAAACAAATATAAGTTTGTGTGCATGACTGGGACATTGTGCTGTACACCAGAAATTGACACATTGTATCTGACTATACTTCAATTAAAAAAAAAAAGATAATTGACCTATGCAGTAGGTCCTTATTGTTTATCTATTTTATATATAGTAGTATGTATCTGAGGAGTCAGTCTTTAAAATTCTATTAATTTGGCCATTTGGTGGAAAGAAGAGTTAAGTTTATTGCCAGTTACTACCTCCAGACCACTGCTCTGAGCTGGGGCTTAGTGTCCTGTTGGTGATTTGAATAGGCCATTTACTTCCCTCTTGTTAAGCACGGAAGCAGCACAAGCCCCTCCCTAGAGTAACTGTTTCTAGCATCTGTTTTGTTCTCAAGATGGGCTGTTCCAGCAGTAATTGGCCAGGAGATATCTGGGGCCTGCTCCCATCTCTCCATCTATTCCAGAAGTCAGGAACCTGCACTGTCTACAGTGAGAAAAGGATGAAGGAAGAGAACGGGAAATGCTGGGAGCAAACCCAATGGATGTAGCTCCCTCCTCAGGATCTTTGTGGGGTGTGGTCCGTGGGCACCTAACTGGCCAGGGGAATAGGCATGTTAGCCTTGGTGGACCCACAGAACACAGTCCAGAGGACCCTCCATGGTCCTACACAGTGCAGTCACCTGCTGAAGGTGGGCCTGGAAACCAGACTATGTTCAGGGGATTGTATCAGACCTCTGCTACCTGGGTAGGAAATGCAGAGCAGACCTCTCAGTTCAGGCCCTAGTCATCTGGAGGACCCCCAGAGGGAGGTGGGGGCATGGGGGGATGTTCAGCACATGCTCTGCCTTCCACTTCGAAGTTCAGGATTTGCCCTGCAGAGGGTGCTTCCTGCATGTCCTGTCTCCCCTCAGATCCCCTCCCCTGCAGTGAGCAATCAGCAGATGCCCTAAAACCAAGGAGGAGAGGTGTGGCCTGTCCTGGGTGCTGAGTGGCACTGATGGCAGCTTTGTTCTGTAACCCTAGGTCCCAAAGATGGCATAGTGCTGGAAGCACCTTCCAATGATCGAAGCATCTTTACCCAAGGTGCCTGCCCGGGCCAGTCGCGTCGTGTTGAGCCAAAGGGACTTGTCTACACCTTTCCCGAAAACGTCTTTCTCTCCTAATTCATGAGCCAGCAAGATGCGGTCGCCGCGCTTTCAGAACGCCTTCTCATAGCTGCGTACAAAGGCCAGGCGGAGAATGTGGTTCAGCTCATCAACAAGGGCGCCAAGGTAGCAGTTACCAAGGTAACAAGAGAATAAACACTTTAGCCATTCCCCGGGAAAGAGCCTACCTCTTAACCATTGTCCATAAAACTACTGTGTTTGGTTCATAGTTTTCGAGGAAGTGGCTCTTCTTTCCCCCAGTGATGGAGGTTTGGGGAGAAGAAAGAAGGATTAAAAATGCTTTTGTTGCTCTCTTTCAAATGGAATCATTTGTAATTAGCATTTGACAGTTTTTAAAATCATAGTGTGGCTTTTTCTCACCTACTTCTTTTGCCAAATGGACAAGGGATCTCTCTGGAGAAGTCAGGGCACAAAAAACTTAGTGAGTAGAGCATTTGTGCGATAATCACGTTAGACAGGCCTCTGGGGAGGTGGACCAGCCTGTGGATGGGGCAGCCCCTCCACTGTACAGAACCTCCTTGATCCCATGTGTACAGTGATGGGCTTGGACCAGATGACCCCTGTGACCTCCTTAGGCTGATTTCACAAGGTTCAGTGAAAATGTGTGGCAAGCTTTGTGTGGCACTGCTGACCCCTCACCAACAGATGACACCATGGCAGACGAGAGAACGTACAGGCCAAAGGGCAGTTTTGTAGCAAAGCTGAGGAAAGGCAGGCTCTGCCCAGTTAGGTGACAAGTGCAAATACATAGACAAAGTAATGCTAATGGCAAACACTTAGTATTGCTCTAAGCACTTTCTAAGCCTCTAGGGAAGGTTCTCTTTTCATCCCTACTTTAGAGATGAGGCAACTGAGGCACCAAAACATTGAAATAACTTGCCCAGAGTCCCCCAGCTACTGAGTGGTAGAACTACATCTTGGACCCAGAGTCTGGCTCAAAGCTCCTGCTCCAGGCCACCCCAGAGAGAGCTATGGAGAAGCCAAGTTTAACTTTCAAATAGTAACATCTGTTAATCTCCTGTGGGAAAATTGGTCAGCTCACATTTTTAGTTACTTATGTGTAGTCTCTATATTTCGTACTTCTGATGTGTGCTTTTTCCAGCACCACCAATCACTTAATTCAGTTCTGACAGTGTCTATCTGGAGACAGTCTCAAATCTCACAAATCTGAGGCTAAGGTCTCAGTCCCACAAAAGCCACCCCTCAGCTTTAAACACCAGTCGCAAGTCCAGGTTGTCACCTGTGCCTCTGACTGACTGGTTGTTAATCAGAGGTTGCCACAACACCCCCTCCTTGGCTTAAATTAATTTGCTAAAGCAACTCACAGAACTCAGGAAACATTTAACTTACTAGATTACCAGTTTATTATAAAAGGATATAAGTCAGGAATAGCCAGGTGGAAGACACGTGTAAGACAAGGTGTGGGGAAAGGGGCACAGAGTTGCCATGTCCTCTGAGCGCACTACTCTCCCAGCACCTCCATGTGTTCACTAACCCAGAAATTCCCTGAACCCTGTCCTTCGGGTTTTTATGGAGCCTTCATTACATAGACATGATTGACTAAGTCATTGGCCATTGGTGATTGAGTCAACCTCTAGCACCTCTCTCCTTCCTGGGTGTCAGGAAAGTGGGACTGCAAATTCTAACCTCTAATCACTGTTGGTTTCCCTGGCAACCAGCCCCATCTTTAGGATTTTCCATAAGTTATCTTATTAACATAAACTCAGATATGGTTGAAAGGGGTTTATTGTGAATAACACACTCCTTTCCCCTTTCTGGCTCTGGAGCTGTTTCAGGAACTGATGAAAAAAGACCAACTATTGTAACAAATATGCTCCCATTGCTCTTACCACTTAGGAAATTCCTAGGGTTTGGGGAGCTCTAAGCCAGACTAAGAGCAAATATATATTTCTTATTATAAATCACAGTATCACAGTGCTGGCCTTTAGAGAGATAGAAAATCTTTGGCTCCTCAGAGGTCACCCATTGGCCTAACAGCACTCTGACCCAGGTGGTGACTGGGTTGTGCGGAATTGAGGGTAAAGGGAACCATAACTCAGACATCGGTGTGATCTACCCAGAGCCCCTCCGGTCCCAGGCAGTCACACATGGGAGAAAGTGCATGAATGCTGTAGTTAGGGCGCTTGCACACACATTTTAACTCTGCTGTGTTTGCTAGTTGTGCAAGTTGCTTAACTTCTTGGAGCCCCAGTTGCCTTATCTGTAAAGTGGGGATAGTAATACCAAACCTTTCAGAATTATTATAATAATAACTTATTAAAGCACTTAGCTTGTAGTCTGCAAATTATCTTTTTAAACAGACTGCATCATTTGCTTTTTAAAAAAGTTTTATTGAAGTACAATTTACATGCCAAAAAATTCACCCATTTTCAGTGTGTAATTCAGTGATTTTTAATGTTTTTACAGTTGTACAATCATCATCATGTTCTTATTTTAGAATATTTCTAATTTGAGAACACATTCTAATTTTAGAATCCCAGTAACAAATCCTTACTTGTTAGCTGTCGTTCCCCATCACCATTCCCAGCTCCTGGCAACCATTCATTTACTTTCTGTCTCTACAGATTTCCCTTTTGTGGACATTTTGTATAAATGGAATCATGCATTATGTGGTCTTTTGTGTCGGTATTTTCAGTTAGCCTTCTGTTGTTCAGGTTCATCCGTGTTGTAGCGCGCGTTCTCTCGTGCTGAACAAGAGTATCCCCCTGCATAGACACGCCACATTTTGTTTATCCAGTCATCGGTTGATGGACATTTGGGGTTGTTTCTGGTTGTAATTATTATGAATAATGCTGCTGTGAATGTTTGTGTACAGTTCTTATGTGGACATGTGTTCTCATTTCTCTTGGGTAGATACCTAGTTGTGGAATTACTGGGTTGCCTGGGAAATCTATGTTTAACATTTTAAGGAAATGCCAAGCTATATTCCAGAGTAGCTGTATCATTTTTTTAAATTGAAGTACAGTCAATTACAATGTGTCAATTTCTGGTGTGTAGCACAATATATTCATTTTCATATTTTTTTCGTTAAATGTTATTACATGCTGTACCATTTTATAGCCCTGTCAGCAACATATGAAGCTTCCAGTTTCTCTGTGTCCTCACCAACGCTTGTTATTGTCTATCTTTTTTTTAACATCATTTGCTTTTTAATAATTATCTTTCTCAAGGTAAAGCATGCACATAGGAGCTTTAAAAGTATAAATGTAAATACTATTAGAAGACATTTAACAAAAACAGCTATTCCCTAGCCTACCCCCAGTCTGCTCCCCTGAAGAAAGAGCTTTAAATTTTTTAGCTGTTTTTTACCCCTGGCGTTTATCTTCATATTTCTAATGAATATGCAAATGCTATTAATTTGACTAATCAGCTTAATTTTTAATTTAAAAACAATTTAGATAATATTTCAATTTTTGTGTTGTACATACCCATAAGCTGAAGTGTCAAATATTTTTAAACTGTTTGCCTTCTGTTTCTGATTCTACATGGGCAACCACTTTCAACTCTTTTAGTAGATTCACAAAGACATCCTGATATTACTAAGTCTTGATTTTCCTGTTTTGGGCATTATTTGTTGACTTAACAATGTAGAAGCTGATGATTTAAGATTTCACTTTTTTTCCCTCTCTTGCTGTCTCACACATGCACTTCTACTTCTGCAACTTAGATGACCTCCGCATTAGGTTTTTGCATATTTTGAACACTTTCTGCCATTCATAGCTGAGCCATGTGGTATGTACTATCATTATGTTGAATTTTTTTGGTTTTGTTTTGTTTTATTGGAGTATAGTCAGTTTACTATGTTGTGTCAATTTCTGGTGTACAACATAATGTTTCAGTCATACATATACATACACATATTCCTTTTCATACTCTTTTTCATTTTAGGTTACTACAAGATATGGAATATAGTTCCCTGTGCTATACAGTATAAACTTGTTGTTTATTTTATGTATATATATTAGTTACTATCTGCAAATCTCGAACTCCCAATTTATCCCTTCTTTACCCTCTTCCCCCCTGGTAACTGTAAGTTTGTTTTCTATGTTTGTGAGTCTGTTTCTGTTTTGTAAATAAGTTCATTTGTCTTTTTTTTAGATTCCATGTATAAGTGATATATGGTATTTTTCTTTCTCTTTCTGTTTTACTTCACTTACAATGACAATTTTCAGGCCCATCCATGTTGCTATAAATGGCATTATTTTATTCTTTTTTATGGCTGAGTAGAATTGCATTGTATAAATATACCACAACTTCTTTATCCAGTCATGTGTCAGTGGGCATTTAGGTTGCTACCACGTCTTGCCTACTGTATATAGTGCTGCTATGAACGTTGGAGTGCATGTATCTTTCGAATTAGAGTTCCCTCTAGATAATATGCCCAGGATTGGGATTGCTGGATCATATGGTAAGTCTGTTTTTAGTTTCTTGAGGAATCTCCATACTATTTTCCATATGGCTGCACCAAACTACATTCCCACCAATAGTATAGGAGGGTTCCCTTTTCTCCATACCCTCTCCAGCATTTATCATTCATGGACTTTTGAATCATGGCCATTCTGACTGGTGTGAGGTGATACGTCATTGTAGTTTTGTTTGCAATGTTCTCCTAGGGTAATCTACCAAGTCAATAGAAATAAAAGCAAAAATAAACAAATGGGAGCCAATTAAACTTACAAGCTTTTGCACAGCGAAGGAAACTATAAACAAAACAAAAAGACAAGCTACAGAATGGGAGAAAATATTTGCAAATGATGCAACTGACAAGGGCTTAATTTCCAGAATATATGAACAGCTTATACAATTTAATAACAAAAAAAACAAACACTCCTATCTAAAAATGGGCTGAAGACCTAAACAAGCATTTCTCTAATGGAGACATAGAAATGGCCAACAGGCATATGAAAAAATGCTCAATATCATTAATTAACTTTTTTGCAATAATTTGTTTGCCTTGACGTTAATAATCATCCTGTGTTTAGTTTTGTCTCTCACCTATCACTAATCATCCCCAGATGTGTAATCTCTGGGTGTGCAGAATGTTAGGTAGCCTCTCCATTGATTCTCCCTGAAGAGATGTCCTCTGGAGCCCTGCCCCT